AGTGGGTCAAAACTTTTGTCCTCGCGATGTAGAGTTTGAAAGCATGTCGAGGAAAAATCGAGCCACCACCACGAACACACATCCGGGGCTTTGTCGCTATAACCCTAAAACCTAAACCCTAAACCCTAAACCCAAAACCCTAAACCCCAAACCCAAAATCCTAAACCCTAAACCCTGCGTCCGTTGTTAGGATTGCCAATGGGTTCCGTCCGTTTCAATACTAGCCCCAACTCCGAGTCAACATTCTTTCCTAAGGCTCCATGCACCTAAAGAGTAGAAGGGTTTAGGGTTTAGGGTTTTGGGGGTTTGGGGTTTAGGGTTTAGGGGGTTTAGGGCTTAGGGGTTCTTTTAAAGGTTCCTTTAAGGGTTTAGGGTTTAGGGTTTTGGGGGTTCCTTGAAAGGTTCCTTTAAGGGTTTAGGGTTTAGGGGTTCCTTTAAAGGTTCCTGTAAAGGTTTAGGGTTTAGAGTTTAGGGCCAACTACTGTTGATGATATAAACCCCGTGGTATAAGGGTTCGTTTAAAGGCTCCTTTAAGGGTCTACTGCTAGGGTTCGATAATAGAAGGGTTCTAGAGGGTTTCGGGTTTAAGGCGTCATGCACCTATAGACCTAAGCCCTAAACCCTAAACCGGTATATACGTAAACCTTAAAGTACCTAAATACCAACCTCTGCAAGGTCTACTTAAGTACATACTGTATTGGGTGCATGGAGCCTTGGAAATTTCGACCCTAACGGAACCCCCGGACCCTTTGAAGGAACGCTGATAGGAAAGCTTGTAGGAACTCTTTCAGAGAACTGTCCTCCGGATGGAAGTACCACTCCTTCCGCAACACAGTTATTCTCAACACCGTTTCGCACACGTAGAAGGCGAGGAAGGCATATTCCTGAGCAGCCGAGTTCCTAGCAACAACCGCAAAGGGTCCAAAGTACCTGTATTGTAAGAATTAGGGTTTTTATTTTGGAATTGATACGATGATTTGGGAAAGTATCCCCTTACACGTTCTTTCAGAACTTAAGTTGGATTCCATTAGCACAAAAAGTTTGACGTCTGCTAATTCAGCAACTAAAGGTCTATGTCTTCGAAAATTTCAGGCCTGTCAGTATCCGTCGGCCATTCCGGATACATGCGCACGATACTCTCAGCAGCTGATCCACGCAGCTGCATCTCGACCACGAGGAACCTTGGCTGACTTCTGAACCCCTCCAAAAGTTAAACTTTTAGTCTCCTTACTATAGTTCAGATAGAAACCCAAAAACTTAACGTCCT